GTTACTTGGGACTGGTTTCCTGGATTTGCTTTTAAGTAAGTTCCCCTGGGGGTGGGGGGGGGTCAATTTAAGTTTTACAACAAAATGGCAGTTCAACCAGGATGGGGCCACTCTGGCTGAATAGTTCCTTACACTCTTATCATCCTGTTTCATTTCTACTGAAGCATTCATAACCATCAGAAATGGTCTTATTTATCGCCATGTTTATTTGTTCCCGTCTTCAGTTCTCCCACCCCATTACTAGAACATATGCCTGGGATGCAGTAACCTTGTCTTCTCATTCACTCATTTAGCCTAGTGTCTACAATGGTGCTTGACACAGGGTAGGTATCAGGAAATATCTTTGGAATTATTGCGTTATATGTAGGGTTTGCATCTGGAAGAAGGGGTATAAATACAGTTATGAGCAAAGGTTTCCTGGTGAGTGAAAATAAAAAGGTAGGCATCCTAAGCAACCTCCCCCCATTCCCACCTCTTCAGCAGCTCTGTCCTAAGTCATCATTTCAATGTTTTACCTTTTGTTTTTCACAGCTGTCTTTGTGTGTCCAGAATGTGATAAACAACCTAACCTTTTCAAGGCCTTTTAGAGCATATTCACTGGAGCCAAACCATTTAGGTTCATGTCTCAGTTCTGTCCCTATATGACCTTGGGCAAGTAATTTAAGCTCTGTGTCCCTTAGTTTTCACATCCATGAAATGATGCCTGCCTCATGGGACTGTTAGGATGATTACAATAATATATGCAAGACACTCAGAACAGTGGCCATAATAAGTACAAATACATGCTAGTCATTAATATTAGTTATTTTCTATCATGTGGAGGGAGGACTCAATTGAAATATCCAAATAAAAGAAGTATCTGTGGGAGATACATGTGATGGGAAAAGTGTGTGTGTGAGAGAAATGAGAACAGCAGGACATTTGCTTCCAGAAATTCAAAACAATATAATTTATTAATTATACATTTAGATATTTGTAATACACACATACATAGGAAATATGAAAGTTATTTAGAGTACCTCCATGATTTTGTGTTGATGTTATAAATTTTATTTTTAAATAGTTTAACAAAACCCATCTTGCATTTTTTTTTAAATAAAATAATCATATCAAAATCTCAAGCATCTAAAAAGTTGTAAAAACCATGATTCAAGTCAACAATTATGTGTTTTGAGATTTGGTGGGTAAACATGATTTCATTTTTCTGTGAAGAATTTACTCTGTTCCTTTCTGGCTTTTTCAAGGTTTTCAAAAGTGATTGTGCCTCTTGGCAGCTGCAACTTACTCTTTTCTGTTTCCAATATGTTCTCAGCTTCACCTTAAATAAAGTACAGAAATATGTAAGCTGACAAAAAGATCATTAGTATTTTGTGAAAAAGCCAAATTGCCATATTCCAGTGGCAAGTGGTAACACTATGTGGAGGCATGCCTCTAAATCTCACACTTAAATATTTCACCTGTTGGCCACAGAGGAAGCCACCTCCCAGAGAAAGGTCATTTTTCCTTTGGGAGGAAAAAGGAATTCTGAAGACAGAGAGAGAGATCAGTCAGAGGCACCTGGATGGCTCAGTTGGTTAAGCCTCTGTCTTTTGCTCAGGTCATCCTGGGATCAAGCCCCACAAAGGGCTCCCTGTTAAGCAGGGGGTCTGCTTCTCCCTCTCCCTCTGCTCCTCCTCCCTGCTTATGTTCTTTTTCCTTTCTCTTAGGTAAATAAATAAATAAATAAGTCTTTGAGAGATCAATCAGATGCCATAGGTTTTACTTGACAGAAGACAGCATTTTAAAATATAGAAAAGAATACCAAGTAATATTTTTTTCCCTGAAGGAAAGTCAGGATGATAAGCATTAGTTGTGTTTGGAGGGGTGTAGGATGGAGAAAACAAATACAGTGTTTGCTATACTGCCCCTTAATATGTAAGTGACATGAGAGAAAATAAAGCTTAATAAAGCTTTTTATTCTTTTTCAGGAATACTAATCTTTTACCTGAAACCACTTGTAAATACCCAAAATAATACTAAATGTTCTTTAGTCCATATACCTATATATACACAGCATAAGAATTTTTATAAACAATTCCTCTTTAAAGTGACAGCTAGTAATTTCTTAGACTCAGTTGAATACTAATTAGCAAAATTTAAAAAATTATTGTATACATTGTTGACATTCTATAAACTTTCCTTGGGAATGAAAGCAAATGTTTCTTTTTAAGTACTTCTCTTTAAGCACACCATTAATTTATATTCCAGACCGAATATGGCTGGCTGCAGTTTTCAAATTATAACATTTCAACCATCTGCAATCACCTTTTTTTTTTCTTTTGGCCTCAGTTTTGAATAGAAAGCAAAAATAATTATAAATTATATGTAATTAGACGCGGGGCACCTGGGTGTCTCAGTTGGTTAAACATCTGCCTTTGGCTCAGGTCATGATCCTAGGGGGTCCTGGGATCAAGCCCAACATTGGGCTTGCTGCTCAGTGGAGCCTGCTTCTCCTTCTCCCTCTGCCCGTTCATGCTGTCTCTTGCTCACTCTCTCTCTCAAATAAACAAATAAGATCCTTAAAAAAATGTAATTAGACAGGACTTTAATGACAGACTAAATAAATGTTCCCATGTGATAGTGCCTCACTTATGACAAATTTTCATGTGTTTGCAGAAAGGCTGACAATAAAGTCCATCAAACAGGGACTGTATATCTTGGGTTTATCACTAGTTAATAGGGCTAAATGTTATAACCTAAACTTCAAATACTCCAAGTTTCCTGGTAGACTATAAAGTTGTATTTTTTTAAAATAGGAAATTCCTACCTGTCTTTAAAGTTTAAAATTGTATGTTCTGTGGACTCTGGTGGACCTGTAATAAAATTACTTCCCAAATATACAGTCAAGATATTCCTAGAAAATAAACTTGTTCTCTATTAGTAGTATGTTCAAGTGAATGCTGTGTAATAGACTTGATATTTAATACTGCATATTAATTTTTATGAGGCACTGAGAATTCTAATGTTCATATAAGCAATGAGCAGAGTTGAAATCAGACTAATGAATTCTTAAGCAGATGAGTAATATGAAACTGAACAGGTTATTGAAATGGGTTTTAACATTGGTAAATCAGTTGTATAGTAAGTTTCCAGCTTAAAAGGGGCTGTACTCCAAAATTTAATCTGTAGATAAGTGTTTTAGAACTCAGAATACATTTTGCCATAGTGATAATGCAATGTAGATGAACTGTGATAACAGTAGTGCTTGACCCCAAGGGACCTTTTAGCAGAGCTTCTGTGTGGAAAATGTATTTCCAACTTCAGAGGGAATTTTCAAGAACGTATAATCCTTGTATCTCCCTAGGCCTAGGAAAAAGATGTTCTACTCCCTACTGCAATACCTGCAGAGGAGTCTTCACTTCCTCCTTTCCTGTACCAAATCAGTCCCCACAGAGCTTTAGCGACAGTGGTGTACACAGATAGCCCAGGAGAGGAAAGGATGCCAAAAATGAAGACTTGGGAAAGCACAGTTTCCAATATGCTTTGGGTTGAAGGCTCAAGAAGAAGAGACACAGGGGCCCTCATGAGAGCGTCTTCCTGGTACAGGGCTGGCTTCTGGGGCAGAGGTGCTATTTTCTAGGGCAAAAAAAGGGGGGGGGGGGTTCTGTGAGAGCAGCATGGTGCAGTGATCATTTAACAACCAGCTCTCCAGGGAAAAAAATGTAATTGCTTCTCGGCCTTTGGCTAAGATCAAATGCAGGAAAAAATGTATATAAATTTATTGTGAACATAAGTTTATTATAAATTTTACTTTATAAAACAAATGTAGCACATAATTTATAAAAAATAATAAAATGTTCAACATATTTATTATAAATTTCACATAGCAAATGGATGGATTCTCATAGAATGTTTTTATTGACTTTTGTTGAACTCTTATATTCATAACTAATCTATAGTTGCAAATGATGAGAGAGTATAATTCCAACACGAATGATGGTTGTTATTTTCATTTACCCTAACAAATAGGAGAGAAATGGAAACAATGACATATGTTGGAACTTTTTTTCTTTGGGAATGATGTAAACAACTTGGCTGAATCAGATAATAGCTTTTAAATGTCAGGAGAATATTTCCTCAGTTGTTTATGCTATTCACAATGTAATGGCTACTGACACAACAAACATTTAAGCATAATCTGCATTATTAACATTTGTTTCATCACTTCCTTAAATCTAGACTATTGGTTGGCAAGCTTTCTTAAAATGGGCCAGATAGTAAATATTTTAGGTCTGTGGGGCCTTATGTCTCTGTTGCAGTCACTCAGCTCTGTCATGGTAATGGAAACACATTCATAGAGAATTCACAAATGAATGGGCGTGTCTGTGTTTTAATAAAACTTTACTTTCAAAAACATGTGGCCACCCTTTAGGCCATAGTTTGCCGAACCCTGGCTTAGACAGTCAACAAAATAATGTCAGGCCTTGATTTGGTGTTTGCAGATTCCATGGTGTAAATACTCCCACCATGACCAACTTCAGCTACCAATGGGATGCCACTGAAGTTGGAGTTATATGTGTTATCTTACTGTGTGTGTATATTGTATCTTTATTTCTATCATAGAGATACAATAGATATACATAAGTCAGGTATAAATAACCAGAGTGCAGATAATAGTAAAATAATGAAAAACTGATTAAGTTCTGAGTATTTATTGCCATTGTTAAAATCATAATTTAATATTTTTTGTAATTTATTTAATTATAAGTTTATCTAATATGTTTAATAATGACTATATTTAATAACCAGCTTACAAATTCCTGAAAATTTGATAAGTCAGTTCTTGTGAGCTGGTATGAACTGACTCCAGCATACTGTGTGAGAGGGAACAGAAATGTTGGTTACTGGTAGCTCTGGGAGTGGGGTCTTGTCAGGATGTTCATAAATCAAGGGGTCATAAGAAAATGATCCTTGAACCAGAAAATAAATCAGGAATATACTCTAGTTTATCAAAGACTGACCTTTCATTCTTTGTAGAAGGGTTCCATATCCTAAGTCATATTGGTAGGTGAAGACGAAGCTTAATGGAATAATAGGGAAGAAGAAGGCTGGCTTCTTCCTTCTTATTGCTCTGGTTCAAAAACAAAGCAGAAAAAATATCAAGAATGACCTATAAATACATATCTGTAAACACAATGAAAAAAAAAATTACCTGCTTTTTGGAATAATGTCCACCATTTTAGAAGTTACTTAGTTCATTTGAATCTTCTGTGGAAATAGGATTTTCTTACTCATAATGCCTCACCAGATTCTGCAGTTCTCAAGGGCAGAATCTGTGACTTTTCCCACCTTTATTTGATGTTGATACTCAGATTACTCATTTAAAAAATGGTTAAGTATTGATATCTGTCCTTTAGGAATTAGGGAGATAAATTTGCAGAGGCCTTCTTCTGTCTTGGTGTCAACTTATATAATGGAGACAAAGATGGGAGAAATCTGAGAAACTAGAGGTAGAATGAACTATTTCTACCCTGGTTCTACCGTCACTTCCAAGTACTAACCCATAAGGGGTTACATATACACCATTTGGACCAAAGTCCTATCTTGGCCAACTTGATAGTAATATGCTAATGTCAAAAACAAAAAGAAGCAAATTAAGAAAAATTTAAAGTAAATAGCAAACATACCCAGCTGTTAAAGAGATGGCTGCAATGCCAAAAAAAGTTCCAAAATATTTAAGGAATTCCCGAGACCAAGCAATCTGCAAGGCCATTTGTCTTTCTCTCATTTCATTCTGCATCATTAGCTGCCTTTCCAGCTGAGGATGAAACAAATGACAAAGTCTGGTTACTCATCTTTTCATTCTGAGTACAGAGTTAATAATCTGCTTTTCCAGGGGATTTTCCTTCTTCAATTGCTTTGATTTGTCTTTTTTTTTTTTTTTTAATCTCAGTAGACTTTAACTAAAGTTCCTCTGGATAGCTATCTCCATCATCTTGGCAGTGAAATCTTCTTGGAATGTATGTAGAATGGATGTGATATTCTTCTGTGTCCTGAGGTCTCGAATGCCTGGAGCTTTTATTCAACTCTAAAATATATGTTCAGCCTATTCTGTCACATGTGAGAAAAGATCTATGTGCCTTTAAATGAAGGTACATCTTCCTGATCTTAATTACAACTTGTACTGAAATCATTTTATCCAACTGCAAATTGACATTCATTTGGAGTAGCAGGTCCTTATCATATTATGATATGATGGGAGAGGGTATTATTCTGAGACATCAGTGGAGATTTTTCCTTGCCACTATTCTCTTGATGCCTCAAGTCCTTTGTTACTTTAGTGAGTGTCTTTCCCTGCATTGGAGCAGAAAGCAGTTATAGCCCAGAACACAGGAGACTGGATTTCTGGATGGATTTTTAGAAAAAACACAAGAGAAACAGCAGTCTAAAAGCCCATTATTTTGAGAAAGATTCTTGAGAAAGAAAATTGTTTTTTAAATTCTAAAATCTTGGCACTGTGTATCATTAGCAGAACCTAGAGGAGAGCAAGCATAGAATTCGTGATGTAAACCATAGGGTGGGGAGGAATGAGTAGTAACATGACTCAGTTTTCTCTTTTTCCTATCTTTCTACTGTGAGAAGAAACTGGAAGAGGAAAAAGGAGACTTTAGAAAGATGGGGCTTGGTTCCTTGGCTTCTCTTAGGAGTTGAAATTCTGGAGAGTTGTGATGAATTTGGGATTTGGGGATCCCTGGACAGAAAGCACTTGTGGACCTATCTTCTATCAAGAATTTGGGGAAGGGGCAACTGAAGTAGAGCTCAAATGGTTGCAGTGCAGATCTAAGCTTAGATCAGACCCGAGAGAGGCCACTCAGGCTCCCTCAGCTGCCAAGGGGTGTGGAGAATATCTGCAAGGTTCCCATATCAGCCTGAAGAGGGGCACAGAAGGTGGCTGAGAATTGGAAAGCAGGTGGCTTAGCGGGTAGTCACCAAAACCTGGAGCCTGGGGACCCCATAAAAGACACTTCAGTAGAGGCCATAAACCAAGTGCTGGGCAGGAAAAGTGGCTGGATGTCAGAAGATTAGCAGCACCCTAGAGTGCAGAGATGATGGCCAAACCAACCTGAAACATGGTGGAACACCCAGAACAGGCCACCTGGCACTGCACAGGTTGATCAAACAGAAAATAACTACAGAAGCCTCCTCCAACCAGATGTGCCTTCCCTATGACCATGCCACTTGAGATCACTTGGACTCAAACCTAGATTGGTCCAGGAAAAAATGGACAGAGAAGGGGAGGGGGCCAAGTTGAATTCACAAAGAAGTGTTTTAAGATGAAGTAATTGAGTCACTTTAACTTGTCTTAAATTTGCCCTCAGTAGTAGAAATTGAACTTTATTTTGGGTTCAGTTAGTGAGTAAATAGTGTTTTTGCATACATGATTATTTAGAATGTGAAATTCATCCTTGCTATATTACTTATTAAAAAAACTTACATGATAGTTCAGAGTATCCCTCCAAAGTGATGTAGAATGCATGAATTAATCATTTGTGCTGTTATCAAAAGATAGCTGAATCTAGTCATGACACAGATGAATGCAGGATCAGTGGTTCTGAATCTTACCTGCACATTTGTGAGCATCTAGGGAGCTTTTAAAAATCTCAGTGCCCAGGCCCACATGTCAGACCAATGAAACCAGAAGGGACCAATGAAACCGGGATCTGGAGTTAGGACCAGTCATTAGTATTTTTTAAAGATTGCCAGGTAATTCCAGTGTACAGCTAAGATTGAGAACCACTGCCTGAAAAAACTCAAAACCTAGGTTTTCCCACCAAAAATCACACTAAATTATCAGTCTGAAAACTGATCCTCTTGGAACTCTCAAAAGATTGGGGACAGAAGGCTTTTTTTTTTTTTTTTTTAAGATTTTATTTATTTATTTGACAGAGAGAGATCACAAGTAGACAGAGAGGCAGGCAGAGAGAGAGAGAGAGAGAGGGAAGCAGGCTCCCTGCCGAGCAGAGAGCCCGATGCAGGACTCGATCCCAGGACCCTGAGATCATGACCTGAGCCGAAGGCAGCGGCTTAACCCACTGAGCCACCCAGGAGCCCCGGGGACAGAAGGCTTTCTAAGGTGGTGGGACTCATCTATATAGTACTGTCGTCGCGGATTCGTGATACCTTGCATTTGTCAGAGCCCTTTAAACTTTACAGCACAGAGTGAACCTCATTGTTAACCTTAATGGGGCATCCAGGATGGGATTTTGGGACAGAAAAAGGACATCAAGGAAAAAACTCATGAAATTTAATATGAAGTTTATTTAAAAGTTATCAATGTTAATTTCTTAGTTGTGACAACTGTGCCATAGTAATGTAAGATATTATCTGTAGAGTATACAAAAGGTAGGGTATTCAAGAACTTTGTCCTCTTTTTCTATAAATCTAAAACTGTTCTAAAATTTAATTTCAAAAATGGTTATGAACAAATGTTATATTCTGGGTCTCTTCTACTGATAAGAATAGAGCCATGTATCTCCATGTATCACAGAGAAATTGTGAAAATCAGCAAGATTATGTGTCTGTAACAGACTCTGAGCCTAGAGTTAAAAAAAAAAAATCTACGCATACCCTTTCCATTGGCAAAAATTTCCTGACAAAAGGTACCATTGAGGTATAATTTTAATTTTCAGTTAGAGCTTTATTAACTACCTCATACTTCATAAAGTTATGCTTAAAATCATAGGTCTAGATCTAAATACATTTAAAATTCAAATTAATTAACAGGGTGTGCCTGGGTGGCTCAGTCAGTTAAGTGTCTGCCTTCAGCTCAGGTTATGATTCCAGAGTCCTGGGATCGAGCCCCAAGTTGCATCCTACTCTCTGCTCAGCAGGGAGTCTGCTTCCCCCCTCTCCCTCTGCCTATCCTCCTGCTTGTGGTCTCTCTCTCAAATAAATAAATAAAATATTATAAAAACCAAATTAGTTAATAATTTATTACCAAACTTTTTCAGTAGCCTTAAAGGGATAATTATATTGATGCAGTTATTAGTTTATCAATAATAGGCATAACATAATTAAGTGTACATTCATTTTCACCCTTCTTCTCCCAATATTGACACTAATGAGAAATAAGAGCAAAAGAGAACATGAACAGTAAGGTTTTTTAGCAGTCTTTAACCAAATTATAAATACAAAATTCTTTATCTATTTTATTTTAATTATTTTTAAAGTAATTTTTAAAGACTTGTTTACAAGAATGTTTAATTATTATTCTGTAGTCCTATGCCCAGTAATAATAACTAAGTCTATATTAAATTTTTTTCCTCCTTTGTTCATTTATTTCTTTATTGAAAATCAATTAACATAGTGTATTATTAGTTTCAGGGGTAGCATTTAGTGATTTGTCACAGTTGCATACAACACCCAGTTCTCATTACATCAAGTGCCCTTCTTAATGCCCATCACCCAGCTACCCCATCCCTCTACCCACCTCCCCTCCAGCAACCCTCAGTTTGTCTCTTAGTTAAGAGTCTCTTATGGTCTACCTCCTCTGAATTCATCTTATTTTATTTTACCTTCCTTTCCCTTATGTTCATCTGTTTTGTTTCCTAAATTCCACATATGAGTGAAATCATATGGTATTTGTCTTTCTCTGAGTGACTTATTTCACTTAGCATAACACCCTCTAGTTCTATCCATGTGGTTGTAAATGGCAAAATTTCATTCTTTTTGATGACTAAGTAATATTCCATAGTATGTATATATGACATCTTCATTATCCATTCATTTGTTGATAGACATTTGAGCTCCTTCCATATTTGTGCTGTTGTGGACATTGCTAATATAAACATGAGGGTGCATGTGCCCCTTCTTTTCACTGTGTCTGTATCCTTTGGATAAATACCCAGTAGTACAATTGTTGGGCTGTAGGGTAGCTCTATTTTTAACCCATTTGAGGAATCTCCATACTTTTTTCAAGAGTAGCTATACCAGTTTGCCTTACCACCAACAGAATAAGAGGGGAGCCCTTTCTCTTTTAACTTATGCATAATGTATTTCCAAGTAACAGAAAAGTTGTGTTTTTATTTGCTTAGTTGGGCAATGCCAAAAAGTATTCTGTGTGTCCTGCCACAAAAGAGGTTTATTTTTATCAGAAATTAAAATATTTCCTATTTGTCTGTGCCTTTGTTAAATTAGCAGAGACGTTATTGATACCCTCTAAACTAAAAGCAAAATCATAATCTCAGGTAAACATAAACTAAGATTGTTAAAATAAAGCAACTGTAATGAAAGCTGTGACAAGTAGATTTATCCTTAATTTGCTCTACAGATATTTTAAATGCTCAATATCCAGTGAGTAGTTTGGAGAGAATCCAGAAGGGGAAATGAGTAATAAGTTTGAGCTTTAAAAAAAAAAGAGCAATAATTTTTTATGAATAACTAATGAAAATAACTGAACATAAACAAAATTATAGTAGCATTTAGAAGCTTAAAAGCTTTACTTACAGCATCTTGTTACACATCTTCCTATAAAGAGTAAACACAATTAAATCCATTTTTACTCCCAGATGTTTGTAAACAGTAAGGTCACCCTAAGTAAAAAATAAAAATGCCAGTTTGCCAAAAACCCTCTGTGTTAAGTCATGGATTCCAAATGTATTGACTTTTTTTTTTTTTAAGATTTTATTTATTTATTTGACAGACAGAGATCACAAATAGGCAGAGAGGCAGGCAGAGAGAGAGAAAGGGAAGCAGGCTCCCTGCTGAGCAGAGAGCCTGGCTCAATCCCAGAACCCTGGGATCATGACCTGAGCCAAG